TTGCAGAGACCATGGCTGATCTTGGACTGATTCAGACCTTCAGATAACTAATTTAACAAGAACTCATGACAGGGGCTGTGCAGGGTGCAACGGGACAAGTCTTTGTGTCGGTTCAAAACATCTTGGATTTTTCTCATTGCAGCAGCTCGGTCTTTCAACGGCGGCAGAGCAAAGATGTCACCTATTCCCGCAGTTATTCCCTTCCCCACAGACTGCCATCACCACTGTGCAGCCACATCCCAGTCAAGTGAAGGTGCCTGTCCATCACAGTCTGCTGGAGGCACTTTCCCCGGTGCTGCCAGGCGGGCGTGATGGAAGCGGCAAAGCCAGCAGGGAGAGCAGTTGGCTCACACCACCGGGAATGCAGTCCCTGCACAGGACCCACGCTGCTCTCCAGGCAAATTCGTTATCAGATGGTGCCAGCAATTTCCATCTAAACCCCACTGGGATTTTGCACTGGAAGCAGCCTGTAAATTAAATAAGTATTGCAACATATTTTTTAGACAGCTGTATTAAATGCTTCCAGATATACATTCATCCTCAAGACACGTGTGGTCAGATGGGATCCAGGCAGCTTGCATTACCCTGCAACACTTGCTGGGCTCTTGCCATGATTTTCTCATCTATCATGTGTTTGGAAGCTTGAAATGTTTTTTTGGGGTTTTTTTTTGCACTACAGCTACATTTCATCTGTCAGCACTAAGTGCTGCAGGAACACACAGCGACAGATGGGCCTGGACTCTTCTTCCTATCTGAATAAACACAGGCACAAACAGGGAAAGCAGCTGTGCAAGGTCATGCTCTGGGGCACAGCACCTATTTGCCACCTAAATGTCACCTGTTCAATAAACCAGTTCTCCTGCAATGCATGTCAACAGTAGGAGTTAAATCTGTGAGGAAGATCCCCTTCTTCTCTTTAGGTGTCTAAAGTGGAGAAATTACCAAGACTCAGAAAGCAACTTCCACAGCCTGCTGTGTCCATGGTTGTGATATGGGATGGAAATTCTACAGTGTAATGGGTTTTTCTAATGTTGATGGCCTGGCCTGTCATGGCCCCACTGCCATCACCTGGACATCCACAGCATCGAGCTATGGCCCCAGAGGCTCTTTGCAAATGTTTGACAACTTTCCAAGTGTCCTTTAACACCCAACAGCAGTTTCACCAGCCTAAAATTTCCAGAAGCTCAAGCCAAGCCTCTGATAACCCTGCCAGCCTCCCCAGACTCCTCTGGCTATCAGAGGACCCTTGTTCCTGCTTTTTTCATGCTGAGATCTTCTTTTGGAGTCCTCTACTTTCAGGACTCAGAGAAGCAACAGGGCTATAGACTCTCCTAGTGCTAACAAATTGTTCTGGCCTTGTTCCAAGCCCTTACCATGACCAAAACAGTGCTACCCCCTTTCACTTTTCTCCAGTTGCAGCTCTGCAGTCACTTCACTTTCCCATTGGAACTTCTTGCAGAGGTTTCTCTTCTGCAAAAACTTCTGAGTTATCTTCCCCAGGCTGTGCCAAAGAGTGCTAAAGAGTGTTCACAGCCTCTCTTGCTGTGAAAACTCTGAAATATATGAGAAAGGCTTTTCTCCCCCCTCCACCAGTGAATCATAGAATGCAGAGGCTGGAGGCTGGATTAAGCACTCAGTTTTGCTGTCACCCAAGCACAGATTCTTGCTCCAAATCCCTATAAATGTGGGTTCAGCCACGCTGTTCCCTGTGTTCCCTCCATATCATCTCAGTGCTTCACATCTCACTTGACCTTCAAGACAACCCAAATCCTTTGACTCCTCACTCAAGAGTTGTTTCTGGTTATTTTATAACTATGAGGGAGCCAGTTCAGTAAAAATTGACCTTGTTCAGTAACCCATGGTCAAACCCACTGTACAGGGACTTTGTCACCACTGAGAATTTATGTGTTGCTATAAAAGTCTGATATGTGCCTGCACCAGCAAATCCATTCACTGGCCTGGCCCCTCCACCCGTGGGTTTTTGGGGTATTTATGAACTATTTTGTAACTGATTGCTGAAAGGTGCCAGCCAGACCCAGATCAGTCAGTCTGGTGATTAAGTGCCACAGATCATGCTTCACTGGCACTGGCCAAAGGCTCAACTCTCAGACCTTCCTGTTTTCCTTATGCAGACCTTGTAAGGCACTCAGCTACATAATTGGCTTTATGAGTATGCTGCAGGTCTTCACATGAGAGACCCACAACAACAATCCCACCTTCCAATGTCCTCAGCCCCATGGAGCTCCCCATCTCCTCCCTCCCTTCCATAGACCCAGGCAAGGCAAGACAAGGGAGGGCTGTTTTAGGCCATTTTAGAGCTGGTTGAGAGGAAAAAGAGCCTGGAGGGGGGACAGCTTCAGGGCATGATGCACTGGAGATGGGGAATGGGGTGTCTCAGCACATGCCCCTTGAACCTGACTTCAGAGTTAACCCCAAGAGCACATCAGTTTTGTCCAAACTCTCTGTAACATTGCTCTCCTCGCACCATTCGCTTGCCCAGCTTATTTAGGTCAGCCCCACATTTTGAGGGCAGTTTGCAGAGCCACAGATCTGATTCAGACAGCCCACAAGTGGCTCTTTGAGCTGCATGTTCACCCTTCTCCTTAGGTAGGTAAGAAGCATCAGTGGGAGCCTCCCAGTGGGCTGCAACCCACCTGCTTTTCAGCCAGCTGGCCAGTGAGCCTGCACTGCCTCCTCTCCTGGTGGAAACCCCCTAATCACTGTGCTGCAAGACAGGCACAGGACAAAAGGAAGAGCTAGAAGTACTAGAAGTGTCCCAAATGTACCTGCTACACCTTCCATGGCCATGAGGTCCCTGAAGTCATGTGCTCCTGCTCAGGAGTGTAAAACTGTAAATGGAAAACAGGGTCCCTCATGCTCTGGCTGCAGCCAAATCCTTCCCTAAGAAATGCCTAACCTGAAAGATTGCAGCGTTCAGCCTCCTAAAGATTAGCCTTTATCTCTCCTCTGAACTTTTGCACAGATCCAGCTGGTTTGGCATAATGAGATACACCAACCTTCATGAAGATGGCCAAGTGTGTGAAAAGCTAACGCTGCTCAGTGCAATGCCTGCCAGAGGTCTTCTCCGAGGCAACAAAAGGAGTGTGTCAGTGACTGACAGGGAGAAAGCAGGATGACTAATGGCAGGCAGAAAATATATCCCTTTTCCTCTACTTCCCAGTCTGAAGACCCAGAGAAACCATCCCAATGTATGTCATATGAGTCCAGTCCAGGGGACAGTCACATTGTGGAGCTGAAGAACAGTGTTAGGACAGGGCTCAAGCAACCAAAGCACCCAGGTCTGGGGAGATAAAAGAGCTGCTGTAATACTCTTTTCAATGCTCACTTCTGTCATGTTAACAAAAGCCCTATGCCATGTGGACAGCTGTAGTGTTGAGTGGGTCACCTTATCCCAGCTGAGGAACTTACACAACTACTATTTCTAGGAAAGTGCCAAAGAAACTTACTGTGCAGACAACACTGGCAGTCTAACAAAAGGGTGTTTGCAGCCCAGGAACAGACTGAGAGTAGATCTTACAGCTGATATCTTCCAAGAGAAAAGTATGTTTCTAGAGCAGTCTTCTAGCACCAGCATGCAGAAGGAATGGACAGCAATCCCTCACATGCATTCATAGCAGCCAGACACTTTAAATCTCCCTGAGGCTGAAATGTGAATGGTACTGCCTACAACTACAACCTTGTCTTTGTAATCATTAATGTATGAACAGGCCGTGAGCCAGCTCAGGTAAAAGTCACTCCACTATGACACACTTTCGTGGAGTCAGGCAATTCCCAGACAGTGGGTCTTGAAACATTTGTTCATATATTCCTTCTGTCAAACAGGTTTATATATTTTCAGTGGGCCTGTGCAGGTTTGCTTCAGACAATGATCTCCGTGTCTCTACCACTGTAAAAATTATATATCTGAACAATGAACATCAGAAAAGCTGTAATTTTTTCAATTAAATTACTCTACAAGAAGAAAAAACATAGGTTTCAGTTGGACATGGCATATTTCAGATTAAAAATTAAAGGAAATTACACAGATATTAGAAGTCCTTTGTCTCAGAGATGTGTTACACTGAAGAGAACCACTAACAAAGTTCATCACTCCCTATGTAGTATGGAATGTGAGCTCAGATAACCAGCAGGATCTGCTCAGGGATTGCTAGAAGGGTCCTGCCTGGGTCCAAACAAGCACTGCGTTGGAGAGGTAAATGTGGTGATGCAGAGCCTTCTTTGAAGAGGATGGTGGGATGCCATGTGGAGAGGGGAAGGAGGAGTCACCAGGACTGTAGAGGGAACATGATCTTATCGTCACACCTCCCCATCAGGTTGGATGTGCTCTCAACCTGTTTTCAACCATTTTACTGCTCTGCAGCTCTTCCTCTCCTTGTCTTATCTACTGACCATGGCAATTCTTCTGGACAACAGTTTTGTCTCCTGGCTTGCCTGTGGTAGGAGCTCTTGGGGAACAGGGTGACGTCCCTGGTGTGCTGTTGGGGTTATGTCACCCAGCCCAGCAGAGCTGGGGGATGCTGCAGTCACTCAGGGCACTGCTGTTACAGGTGAAGGTGGATGAATCCATCCAGCCCACTCATTGGGAAGAGGTGGCCTGTGTGTTCCTCACTTCACATGGGTGGGTGAATGGCTTCTATACCTGAACTGTCTGTGGGGAGCACGGAGCTCAGCTAGAGAGCCAGCCTGGCTGCCCCTCACCTCCTCCCTTCCTCTGGCTTCATCCACCTGGGCATGGAGGATTGTGAGTGTGTGTTACAGCACTGCTGGGGTGCATGGGACTTCAGAGAAAGTGGGGAACGTGCACAGGTAGTTTGTTATCCACAGGTTGCAGGGATAGGTTGCAGGAAGCAGGTCAAAGGGTGAGTGGGAGCAGCAGCAATCGGGCTGCCGGCCGAGCTGACGCATTGTTTACCCTGATGTTTCCGCTGCTATAAATCGCTGTCAGCTCCACTTCACCAGGCTCAGCTCCAGCAGAGGAGGAGGGAGAGGGTTTTTACCTACACCGAGCTCCCCGTCAGGTGAAAGTGTGAGAGAAGCAGAAGAGAACAGGCAGCAGAAGGCAGTGTCAGCCATCCCACACCAGCATGGTGTCTCTGCTGGACAACATAGCCAGACCTTCTGCTGTGGTCCTGCAGCTGTCTGTGGTCCTTGGGGTAATCTTCGTGCTGCTGAAGGTGGCCCAGTTCTACCAGAAGAGGAAGAAACTCATCAAAGCTCTGGAGGCATTCCCTGGCCCCCCGAAACACTGGCTCTATGGCCACAATCACCTGGTAAGGAGTGAGCTGGGCTCGGTCAGGGTGGGTTTGTCCCAAGGACTGTGCAAGATATCAGCCAGGATAAGAAGCGCTGGATGGGCTGTGTGTGTCCCCTGCTACTGTCCCTTCCTACAGGAGAGGGCCTCTGCACAGGGAGTGCCAAGACTTCTGCAGGGTAAGAGGAAAGGTTACCTGGATATGAGATGTGCATCATTAGGGAAAAAAAAGAGCCAGGTTGTATTTGATCACGTGCTTAAACACAGAGTTAGGAGATTTCTTGGATTTTCGTGAAGTTACCTAAATATGAGCAACCATTGAATGTCTCTCTTGCACATTAAACCTTCTAGCAATAACAGTCTCTCCCCTACAGCCACTGAAGAAGACATGACCACAAAAGCAGGGCATTTTTAATGCAGCCATTTTCATTGCTCTATAGTGAAGATATTTTGCTTCCACACTGCATGCCCACCTTGCACTGCTGAAATTAGAGAACAGGGGTGTAACACCCTTGGTCCTCCTGACCTGTCCACCAGACCTCTTGGTATTGCCCATGACAGCTGTAGCTCCAAGAAACACCAAGCTGCTCTGAGCTCAGGCTGTCCTAAGGAGGCTCAACTGCAGCTGGCCCCAGCTGGGAACTCTCCACAGAGTTGCCTTGTGCTGCAGGGAAGTGATGGCTCAAGCAGCTTTGCCACCTGTGCACAGTCCCTTTGCAATGCCCATCCTCTCCTTCACCTGCAGTGTGAAAGCCCCTGCATGGCAAGTCCACCCACTCATGCTTCATTTCCCAAGAGAGGATGTCTTGCCTGTGCTTTCCATGACAGGGCAGATTTAACCTCTGTTCTCCCTGGCATGTTCTTTTTCTGCCTTTATTATTTATCTCCCTGATTAATTCTCATTCATTGTAGATATATTCTGAAAAAATATTACATCAACTAGTGTCGTGGGGAGAAGAATACCCCTATGCCTTTCCCAGATGGTTTGGACCAGTCCTGCCTACTCTAGTTGTCCACCATCCTGAATATGCCAAAAGCATACTTGGCCGAACGGGTAAGTCTCTATATCTGGGTTTTAGAAGTCCTACAAAAAAAAAATCATGGGAAACTTGCCTGGAGTCACCCCCTCTGCTGGCTTCCTTCACAGTTATTGCAATTCCTCTACAGCCCCTCTTCACAAACTCTCAGCCTGCCCCATGGAGCAGTTTGTATTCTTGTGCAGAACAGTGACCAGGGGCCTGTTCCTTTCAGTACCTTATCCCCATTTTCATTGGTCTTACTGCCTTCTATGGAATCTACCACCACTGTGCTTGTGCTTCCCAGTAAACCCAGTAATATGGGTGAGCTGGCATGGCAGTGGGTCTGAGAAAACACCTTAAGTCTTCCCCTCTGCTCCCTTCTGTGGAGCATAATGCCTGTGAATTGTACACACACGGGCATGTCCAGTAACTCACACTCATTATTCTCGACTTGGGATTTGCCATGGTCATTTCTTTTCTACATACATTTATTGTTCTACATTTCTCTGTTTTTTCAAGTCCATTTAGGTCATATTTGTAGATGACAACTCTTCAACTCTACCTCTAGTGGTAATCTACATACTGAAATGAGATTAATTTTACCTTGTGATTTAGAGAGCAAAATCTAATGTCAATTTATCCTGAATTTTCTTTTTAAAAATTCATTAGTCATTCATCCATTTCTGATATCTGCTTTGTTTTACAGATCCCAAGTCCAGTGTACCCTACAAATTCCTGCTTCCCTGGATTGGTGAGTCAAAAGCAGTGGTAAGGCTGCCAGAGAGAGCCATGATCAGAGCCTGGAGGAGCTGACTGAGCCTTTGCTGTTTGTGCCTTCAGGGGAGGGGTTGTTGATTTTGGATGGAGCCAAATGGTTCCAGCACCGGAAGATGCTCACCCCAGCCTTTCATTACGATGTGCTGAAATCTTACGTGACCCTGATGGCAGACTCGGTCAAAGTGATGCTGGTAAGAATCCCCACTCCTGCTACTTTTACCTTTCAGCTGTGCAACAGTGAAAATAATCAGATCTGGGAATGAGTGAGGGAGACTGCACTTAGTGTCTAGAGTTTTGAAGTTCTGAAATTGTTCCTCTCACCTTCCTTTGGACATTGCACTTATTTTTTTTTTTCCCCAATAAAACTAACCACTGCTAGAATATCCTTTGCTAGCCCAGGAGTGGTATACATGGAAAAAAACATGCACAGGAGAGTTTTATTAGATTCACAGGATATGTAGTCAACGAGGGCCTCTGCTTGCAGAAAAGTAATTAGCAGTGTGGATCTGGGAAGAGGGACAGGAATATGCAACCTGATTGTAGGTGGCAGCCTGTCCCTCCTTACCCATCTCCACCTCTAGGATAAATGGGACAAGAAGAGCACAGAGGAGAAGTCAGTGGAGCTCTTTCAAGATGTCAGCTTGATGACACTAGACAGCATCATGAAGTGCGCCTTCAGTTTTAATTCCGACTGTCAGACTGAGAGGTCAGTGCCTGAACTCTCAAATCCCGGGAAAGCAAGTGCTCCTGTTTCCCCCTCATGTTGCTAACGCCAGCTTTAACCTTGGCCTCATTACAGCAACTCACACTATTACATTAAAGCTGTTTTTGACCTGAGCTACCTCATGAGCCAAAGATTCCAGACTTTTTCCTTCAAGGATATCTTCTACAACCTGACTCGCAAGGGCCATGAGTTTCAGGATGCCTGCAAGCTGGCCCATACCCACACAGGTATTTCTCCCCATTTCTCCCCGGTCTCCCCCTTTCTCTCCTTTTCTTCCCAGCTGAACCTCTCCCCCACTTGCACCAGGAGTGTCTCAGAGGGGAGGTGCAGCAGGCACTGGCCAGAGGATTACACATTAAACAAGAGCCCAAGCTGCTGACCAAGTGGTCAGGTACATGAGGTCTCTGGAGAGGCATCTAACTGAGGCACTCTTCTCTGCAGATAAGGTAATAAAAGAAAGAAAGATGTTGCTCTCCAATGAGGAGGAACTTGATAAGATCCTGAAGAAGAGGCACCTGGATTTTCTGGACATTCTTCTTTGCAGCAAGGTGAATGTTTGAAGTGATCACATCAAATGCTAAAGAACACACTGAGGATGCATCAGTAGTGAAGCATCCAGGCCCTGGTTGAAATTCCTGGCAACAGCTTTACTCAATCCAGCTTTCCTAGCTCAGGGAAATGTGGATGGAAAGGGAAGGAAATATAAAGGTGTGAAAGGCGGTGAGTGAGCATAAATACCTTGGGCAGACTTTCACCTTCCTTGATTATTTCCATTGAGCCCACTAATAGTTTTAAAGAAAACACCTCTCAGAAACCAGAGAGGAATGAGGCCTTTGGAAAGGTTACAAGGAGAGCACCTTGTCTGTAGTCCTGTCAAGATATTTTCTTTGTTACTTTTGGTAGTTTTACTTTCAGAGATGTCTTCGGATACTCTGGAGAGAAGCTGCCATTTGTTGTTCAGGAGGGAGATACACTCTACTCACTCTTTCTGCAGCTGCTGCTTTCTTTCGTGTCTCAGTCTGAAATAAAAATCATCCAAACCAAACTACTGAAAAATGTAACAGGGACCACTGGTAGGGGATCAAAAAGGGTGTCCTTATGATGGGCTGGGAACTTGTGCCCCACTGAAGCCCAACTCCGCAGCCCTGTTGACTACAGAGTTGGCAATCAGCAGGGCTGACTGTTCTCACATATACTGGATATATTTTCTGATGACTTCCTGATGGACAGGGAAACACAAGCGACACCAAATCATGCAAATCCTTAGGGTATAAAAATAAAAGGCCGGTGTGCTTAGGAATGATGCTCTCTCCTCTTCATTAGGATGCAAATGGAGTTGGACTGTCTGATGAGGACCTGCGTGCTGAGGTGGACACGTTCATGTTTGAGGGTCACGATACCACAGCCAGTGGGATCTCCTGGCTCTTCTACTGCATGTCATTGCATCCAGAGTACCAGCAACGCTGCAGGGAGGAGATCCAGGGGATCCTGGGAGACCGAGATACCATTGAGTGGTGAGCCAGGACATCTTATTCATTTACCTTGAACTCTTTTCACTTACCCTTTTGTAGTCCCCCACAAAATTCTTCTCTCTAAATTGGAGAGATATGGATTTGATGGGTGGACTGTTCAGTGGTTGAGGAATTGGTTGGAAGGCTGGCATCCAGAGGGTGGTGGTCAACAGCTCAATGTCCAGACGTAGATCAGTGACAAGAGGTGTCCTCAGGGGTTCCATACTGGGACCAGTACTGTTTAATATCTTCATCAATGACATATACAAAGGGATCAGGTGCACCCTCAGCAAGTTTACTTTCAGGGAGGACCTTGGGAAGATGACCTACACCACGATGTGCATCAAAGAGAGCTTGCGCCTGTTCCCACCAGTTCCTTTCGTGTCCCGCCAGCTCTCTAAACCCGTCACATTTCCTGATGGACGCAGCTTGCCAGCAGGTCTGTTGAGTTTGTTCATCCTTCATGCTCCTGTCTGTGACAGGTGGGGCTTCCCTTTTCGTTCTGCTGTGTGGAGGGGATGGTGGGTCTTCCAGCCTCTCTTCTCTCTCCGAAGGGCTGTATGGGGCTACCACAGCTTGCCACCCCATGAGCCTGGAAAGGATGGCCAGAGAGAGTCCAAGGATATGCTCCAGGGCACTGGAGTGTTCACAGAGCTCACAGGGGACTTGTAGGGTCTTGTTGCTGGCCAAGTGAAAGTGATACATTTTTGATATAAAAAATGGGGCCCAGCTCTGAGGTCATTGTTTTGTCCATGTGAGGATTTCAGGAAGTTACTGGCCTGGACAGGCCAGGTGTCATCACTGTCAGATCTCCTGCAACAGCCCCTGCAGAGCCCAGGGAGAGAGACCATCCCAAAACCACCTTTCCTGCATCTTCACTCTGAGGTGTCATGAGCTTTTTTTCTCATTTTTGTTTTACAGGCTGCCAGGTTGCACTGAGCATATTTGGCATTCATAGGAACCGGGATGTCTGGGAGAACCCTGAGGTATTTCACCTTTGCAACAAGAAAGGGAAGATGATGTCTGAGCCCAGACACACATTTCACTTGTGCCTTGTTCAGCCTGTGCCTTCCTGCTGTTTTTTTTTTTTCCTTCTCATTCCAAGAGTCCATGTCCAAATGCAAAGTTCAATCGAGTTACCAAACACTCCAAAGGCTTTGAATGTGACAAAGTGCTGGGAAAAGGTGTTGAATAGTCTCTCTTCATGCATGGGGACATAGAGACACTCAGACTGCTTTCAGCTACCCTGGATAGCCTTAAATCTCAGAGTGGTATGAGAAGCCCCAAGCCCTCCAGGCAGTGTGTGATTCGAAGCTGATATTTTTGAGGCTTCAAAGAGTAACTGGAAAACTTGAAGGAGGGTGTGCAACTGCCTCCCTCCAGTGGCTGTCTGGAAAGCAAGGATCAGGCATCTCTGGAAACAAAGGGAGTCTGACTTTATCATCGCTGCCCTGGATGGGAAAACACCTGCAGGCGTCTTGGGGTTGTAGTGGGTGACCTGGATATCTCCAAGGAGAAGATCCACTCAGCAGCTTTGTAGAGAGATGTCTGTTAACTGCAACTCCCCCAGGAAGGGCAGAGACAGCATCCAGCCCTAACCTGGGGACCAGGAAAGAACCTGGTGCTGCTCATATCAGAACAAACACTGACCAGATGGTCTTTGTTGCTCCCATAGGTTTATGATCCCCTGAGGTTTTCTCCAGAGAACTCAGCACAGAGGCACTCCCATGCTTTCCTGCCTTTCTCTGCTGGACCCAGGTGGGAGATCCTTCATCCCTCTCCTTCCCATTAGGCTGCCTTGCATGGGAGACCTAGCTCAGAGCCAAGCTCCTGAAGCGAATCTTCCCTCAGTCTCCATGAGCCAGGTTGGCTTGGCCAACTCACACAGGTTTTCCACAACAGGATCTCCCATTACAGAATCTCCTCTAAGAGGATTTCCGTGCTCCATCAGCTCCAGAGCATTTCCAACACCCTAAGCTCTGTGGCCACTGTAGGCTTTCACACACTTTTCTTGTGGCTTTGTGGACACGTTTACATTTCCTGCTGCCTGCATTGGGAACACAGGCTCCCTTATTTAGGGGTGAATCTCAGTGCCCCTCAAAGTGAAGCTGGGTCCAAGACTCTGTGGTTCCCATGCTGTATCAGTAGACAGATGTATGATACTGAGGTATCAGTAACTTGCAAGAGGATCCCCACACTGAGCCAAAATTAACTTTTCTAAGGTGCCTGTACTTTCACCTGGATCCAGGCTGCACTTCCTAGTGAAATAAGCCCCCGTTCTCTCAATCTCATATCTTTTTTCATTGCTTTAATAAAAATTAGGAATATCACACACACACACACACACACAGAGCTGGGTACATTTTGGTGTGGCATCAGGGGATTCCTAGGTGAGCTGCGGTGCCATTCTCACAGCAGCTGGATGTCCCCCAGCTCACAGGTGGGCTGAGCCCAGTTTTGGGGGCAGGCAGGGTCAAAGGCAGCAGTCAGAGCACTCGTCATCCTCTCCCCAGGAACTGCATCGGGCAGCAGTTTGCCATGAACGAGATGAAGGTGGCGCTGGCCTTGACCCTGCTCCGCTTCAAGCTCTGCCCAGACCCATCCAAGCTTCCCATAATGATACCACAGCTCGTCCTCAGGTCCAGCAACGGGATACACCTGCACTTGAAGAAGATTCCCTGATCCCATGGGGCACCACGGCAGGTGGGCAAGAGCTCTCCCAAATACCACCCTCCACCCAGAGATTTAAGCACGGAAAGAGATCCACACTGTCCACATTGGATCTCTCCCACGTTAACCCCCCATCGTTGCTCTCCCAGGGGGCCCTCTGAGCCCTCTCAGACAAACACCAAACCCAGCAGGTCCAGGTCCCCTCCTTGCAGGAGGAGCAGCACTGCTAAGGAGGCTCCACAGCATGACTGTGGCTCACCTCTGTGGGCATCCTCCATGTCCTGATCATCTCCTGACTTCCAACATGCCCTCACACGCTGCCTGGCGGGACTTCTGTCACCCGCCTGTGGGTTTGTTCCATTGTCAGTCTCCAGGATGGGCTTGGCAGTGAACAATGCTGGCATGGTTTGCATGGATGTCTAAAGCCTGGGCGCTGCCCCAGCACAGAGTCCTTCCCCTGCCTCCAGCCTGGGAGTGCCAGGGCAGGAGAGCTCCTCCTGGCAGCCTCACTGCATCCCCATGCACCACCCTCCAAATTATTCCTGTTCTGGGGCTGGCACTGTGCCCACCATTATGGAGATGAAGGTCTGTGGTTTCTTTCTGCCCCAGCACTGAACTTCCTTGAGTTGAAGGCGCTCAGGAGCCAGCACAGAGACATGACACCAGCTCACCTGGAGAAAGCACTCATCTCACTGGAAACAACTGTGGTCAGCCTTGGCCTCATCTCCAAAACAAGAATAAAGCATTATGAGGATGCCCTCCAAGCATGGCTTTGGCTTCCTTTGCATTTGGGGGTCAGGGGGTACAGGAGGAGCCCCAGCAGGCCAGAGGCAAGGCTGTGCCCGAGGGTGCAGCCCTGTGAGTGTTTCCTCAAGCCACAGGCACTGTTTGCATGGGTGGGTTTGCCCCCTGATGAGCCTGAGGAGCCTGTTCCACACCTCCCACAACACCCATCACCAAGCCCTCACCTTTGACTCTGGGAGTTTCCACGGTAAGGAAACAATGGAAATGAATCTGTGGTCATACAAAACAATACACAAATACACTCCACACACACACAAATGCTGCTGGTAAGAACAAAACCAGCTTGCAAAATAAAACAAGTCCCAAGATGAAGCATGAGTCTGCCTCAAAACCTTTGCTGCAGAGGCTGAGAGCTGACCACTCAGTACATGAGTGACCTGCCCAAGGGGTGAAGGTGAGCACTGCCCCTGGGATCAGGCTTGTTTTGGGGATACAGGGAGCCTTTCCCCAGCACCAGCCAAGGTGGACCATCTGGATGAGCTGCGGGCCCAGGATGTGAAATGGATCACTAGGTGGCAGTGGGAGACCCAGAAAAAGCCCTCCTCCCTGGTCCCTGGTAAACCCCCTCTGGGCTCAGCAGGGAGCATGGCCAGGCCCAGCAAGGCAGCTGATGTGCCCTAATCCCTGGGGATATCTCTGTCCCCATCCCCACCCTCGGCCGTGCAGGGCAGCGGAGCAGGCACTGCTCTGTCACAATCCCCGAGTGATGGTGTTACCCACGCACAGCCCAGGGAATGTTTGTCACTGAGAGTGCCTCAGAACCCAGCAGTTGTCAGGGGAAACTGAGGCTCAGGGTTACAGGCAGCCATGCCACAGTGACAGACAGGGCTGTTTGGCTTTGACTCACAGCGATGGCATCACCAAATCACTGCAGGCACCAACGTATCCAGTCTGTCTGTCTGTCTGTCTCTCTGGGGAGCTCAGGACAGCCAAATCTGAGCATCTGCCCATCTGACTAAACCCCTGCAGCCCCCCTGCTCCCCATCTCTGCTGCCTGCTCAATCCTCAGTTTGGGAAACAAAACTCTCCTCAGGCTGGACTCAGACCTTTGTTTTGGCTGTTTGGGACAGGGATGCTGGGATTAACCCACAAGGTGCAGCTTGCATTTGTTTTGCAAGGTAGCTGGAGACCAAGATGCTCTTCTCCTAGCCCTCCCCTTCTTACTCCCAGGAAGAGACTGGATGCAGGTTGTGTAGGTGCTGATGCCACCACACTTGTCACCTCTGGTGGACTCAGGCTGATCGAACAGGTCAGACTCCAGATGTCTTCCTCTCCCGCTCCAGCACGACAAAGCCTTTAGAGGGCAGCAGTTTGACACACCTTCACATTACTGAAAAGTCCTGTTTGTCAGACATTTCAGCCACCCTTTTGGGAACAGGCAAACCACCTCACAGCTCTGCTCATCCACTCTCCAGCAGGTGGTCCAAGGAACGAGGTTTGGGAGCACTCGGCCACAAAGACCCATTCCAGTCTCCTTGGTGGTGGGTTGCAAAGGAAACTAGGTGACACCACAGCATCTTCTGGTTTGGATGCAAGGGGATTAGGCCAGAGCAGGGCAAGTTACATCTGAAGAGGACCCCCAGCTACTGCCCACCCCTGAGTCTGTACAGGGGGCCTGTGTTTTGAGGCCACCACCCTGTGACCAGCCTTGACCAAGGCTGCTCATTCGATTTCCAGGAGTACTCCTGATTGATTGTTATAAATGGCCAAACCCCAACCACTGCAAGTGGGGGCCTTCTCCAGGGAAATTGCTCTTGCAAATCTACTTGGGAAAGAGAGGAGAAACCACTGACATTTTTAATGCAAATAATGGGTTGTTGTTCCACACAGTTATGACAATAATTGAGGTAACCTGAGCCAAACACTTTAAAATCCCTTGCCACTAAGAAATGTGCTTAACCCAGGTTTGCAGTTTGAAGAACCCAAGATTCTGGGGGAAGGTCTCACAGCACCAATGCACCAGGGAGCCCTAGTACAGGAGCAACCAGGAGAAAATTATTCTTCCACTTTTCAGCTTGGCCAGGTCAAACTGAGCAATGCAAACATCCCCCCACCTTCAAATGCTGGCAGTTTCTGGACAGCAGCGTGTACAAGATAACCTCCCCTGCCAAGCCACCGCCAAACAGTTTTGAGAACAGCAAAGTTGCTGTGTGAGGAGCCGGGCAGCAGCCACTGACACCGATGTAATCGCCCCCACATTTGCCCCAAATGTCTCCCTGCCAGGCAGTGACATTTCTGCGCTGTCTCAGCTCTCTCCTTCATCACCATGGCTACAGCAGCCGCCAATCCACGGGCGAGTCCTTCCAGGGTACCAACAAACCCTCTGGGAGATGCTACGAGAGCCAGCCCCTTTGGCAGGGAGACACTTCAGGGACCCCGGGACAGCCCACAGCACCAAAAAATTTCCCCTTTTCTTATATCCCTTCTCCTTTTTCTTTTCTTCCCCCCCCCTTTTTTTTTTTTTTTTTGAAACACAAACAATGGAGCTAAAAGGTTGGGTATCAGGCCGATAATCATGAATGACGTGTCATTATTACACACCACACATTCATTATCTCCCACTCCAGCCATGTCACAGGCGGCTGGAGGAGGGCAGATAACGGGGTGCCTTCATGCAGATGGCTTATTATCAGGATGTTCCAGGAGGGGCTTTAAGACAGTTAGTGATGCTGTTTGCCAGTTAAAGATTAGAGACCCCAGAGAATAATTAACAATCCCAAAACCCAGTTTTTCTGCTGGATTCTTCAGCTTTCTCCCCCCTCCCCCATCCTCTTTAATCTATTCACTCTAGCAGGTGTAATAAAGTGATAAGGACAGGCTCCGGGGATGTTTGTTTGGCTACTACGGGTGTACAAACCAACAATGGATGGTATTTTACTTCTGGCTTTCAGTGGCTTGAATCGAGACCAAAAACTTTGCAGCCCCCTTGCCCACACACAGCCACCCCTCCCTGCTGTGCTCCCAGCTCCCACCTGGGTGGCTGAGCTTCTTCGCCACCCGAAGGACCACGATGGTGGGACGGGCTCCCTTTCTGTTTCTGGAAGTCTAAATCACATCTCTTGGGTGCCAAGGTGCCCAGTGCCAGGACATAAACCCCAGGCTACACTGTCTGGGTCCAGAGCTGGAGCTGGTGCCTCTTCCAGCAGCGGTTTATCTAAATACAGCAAGTCTTTAATTAAACTACCTTTCAATAATTTATATGGCAGTTGTCCACCTGCCCAAACTGCTCCTGGTTTGTGGTTACAGCTGGAACAGAAACAGAATCTTAAACCCTCACAGCTAAGGTGCCTGAGGAGAGATCGGGAAAGCATCAGAGTAATGGTGGATTTCAACAAGATGCCCCATTACCTGCGGGTCCAAGAGAGGAGCTGCACCCTCCTAGGTGACAAAGAAAAGCTGTGATACATCTTTGTAACAAGGTGGTAATGAAAAAACCCACCCTGAATGTCTTCTGCCCAAAAGGAGATGGTCCTGTCTGCAGCAGTCCCCAAACCTGAATGTCTTTGTGAAGCCCAGGCTTCAGAGATAATGGCATTATGGAGTGAGGGGTAGGATGGAGCACCCATGGTGTCCTTCCCCTTCACTGTGAAGGACACGGTCACTCCCTCATGCTGCATGGAGAAGTGTTGGGGAGGATTTGGCCCCAGGCAGGTTGTCTCAGGCCCCTTCAGAGATGTCACAGAGGCTGTGGGAGGTGCCCATCACCTGGGGGCTATCAGGTACTGCCCCAACTCTGGAGGACATTCCCCAGCTCCCAGGGTCGGCGTGGAAGGCATGAGCACTGGCATGCCAGAAGTTGTCATCCCAATCACGCTCATCCTTCCAGGGAGGGATGAGACAGCATTGTGCTTTAAAGAGCATCCCGGCCCTATCAGCAAGAGATGAGATATCCTAATTAAGGCAGTACAGGCGAGGATCCGGGCCGTATCAGCCAGTACAGAAAGGTAAACAAGAAATATAACAATGGACCCTTAACACTCATTAGCTGTGTCAGATAATACCTCACTTTTCTCCCTTTGGGGCTTAAAATCTAATTAAGATTTTCCAACAATAAATTTCATTTATGCTCGCTCCCTTTTGTTCTTTTTAGGATCACACCGAGAAGCATCTGCGAGGCGGCTGCACAGCTCAAGGGGAGGCAGCTTCACTCAGCCAGCCTCGGCTTGTGCTTCGTGGACAAGGGAAACTGAGGCAGGACAGCACCATGGACAGTGCAGAGGTGAGGTATACCACTGAGAGGGCATCCCTGGCTCTTGCTGAAGATGTTTTCCTCCAGGAAGTGAACTCTGGCTGTGATAAGACCAAGCACTGAGTCTCCTGGGCTAGCCCAAAGTGTCCAGCAGTAAAGCTCCACCCTTCTCCTTGCTTGGACCTACAGCCATGGCAGGGATCCATGGGGAAGGGGACACTGAGACCCACTGAGTCCCGAGCACACCTCCACTCCAAACCCTCATGCAGGCACTGCAGGGTGAGCAGCTCAAGCTTCCATCACATACTGAGGGTGTGCACAGGGCATGGAAAAAAACTCCCGCTGTTACTCATTATGAGGATGTCATTGCTAACTCCTTTTGCAACTGAGAGGTAAAAAATTAATGGGTTCCCCTCCTCTCACCACACCCCCCCCAGCCCAAGTGCTGATGGCACAGGAACACGTAGTGACTAATCCTTAAACCCTGCTGAGCACAGCACTACCACTGAACTCTGGGAAGCTTGTTTTTTCCAAAACCACGTGGCACTTGGCACCTACAAGAGAAAAGTCAGGGGAGCAGCATCCACAGGGGCATGAGTGGGGACATCCAGGTTCAGCCTCCAGCTGTCCAGGGGAAGGTGGTAGAAGGGAACAGTTCTGACATGATGCTGGGGGTGCAGCCATCATACCTCCAAATCTGAGGGCCTGACCCCTCTAACCCTTCTCCCTGTTTTCTTCTGCTCCCATGCAATTTCTCAACTGGAGCTGTGATTTCTCAACACCAAGTCTTTGAGGGCATTTTCGAAACACTCACCTACCTGAGTCTCCAGGGGAAAGGCCTTTCAAGGTGGGTCTGTTACTGGAAGGCTCCTACCTTAATTTTTGTGTCACGACGTGCTTGGACATCGGCAACTTCACCTGCAGGAAGTGCACAGCAGAGCCCTAAAACCACCCTGCTCCCCTCAAAAGCTGGGACTGCCAAAAATTCCCCTCTTATAAACCTCCCATCCCTCCCAGTCCTGCTCCAGCTGGGCTGCCCTTGATTTCAGATTCCCTTCATGCTTTCCTGAATTGTCAAGAAGAGGACCCTGAATGCCAGTGGAGTAACTCACGTTCCAGGGATGGCCGAGGCATTAGAGGTCTCTCATTTCAAGCTGCAAATGCCACAGCTTAGAAGTGCTGGTTGCTCCCATGGTGGCCCTGGCACTGTCCCCACCACAGCAGAAGATGGACCCTGGCTAATGAACAGCCTGGCAGGAGCAGGTTGCACTATGGCCAGCTGCCCCAGGATGGCCAGCGCTGCCCAGAGCAGCCACTTCCTGGCAGCGAGGATAAGGGATTGCCATTCACAGCCTCCAGCCCTGGGAATGGCCCCCAGCTGGCTGCAGGTCTGCATCTTGTGGTCAGTGGGATTCAGGGAGTGCTGCCTTTCACCCATTAAGCAGCACTGGGAAGTGCTGGATTGGGGCCGTGCCTCAATTTCCCCACCCAGCAAATGGTGAATTAATGCTCAGCCACCCTTTAGCAGCCCTGGGGTTGTCCAAATGCTGAGCATTCCCTGATGTCCTTCATTTTCCCAACTGCCTGAAGGCTGGGAGAGCTGTGAGATGCCAGAAAGTCCTTTGGCTGATTAGCAAAACGACTCTTTCTGCTGTCATAGGGGCAACAATTCTCTTTATTGCTCACAGGGGAGATATGTACAGGGGAGAAGGTTTGTTCTGACGTTAAAATGCATGGTATTGGTTGTAAAAAGGAGGGTGAGCTGGGGAGAAAAGAGTAGGTTTTCCATCAGCAACTCCCCAGAACGCAGCTGGAGGTGCAGGGAGGTCCCAGGCCCCCAGCAGGAGCCCCTCTGTGTTTTAAGCACGTCAACACCCTTCTGGGACTTGGGACATCAACCTCGCCAGGCAGGTGGGGTGACCACCAGGCAGGAGAGGTGGCACCTCCAGACTTCTCCTGGGGCCCGATGTCCACGTGGACACCAGCCCCCGAGGCAGAAGAGCGTGTCCCACAGGTGTGAGAAGGAAAGATCAGGAGATGGTGGTGCCGTGGGGAGGTCAGGGACCCACCACACACACAGGGGGGTACCAGTGCAGGGGGTCTCTGTGAAAATGCCCATCGCGATCGTGTGAAGCAAATTGAGAGGAGGAAGGAGGGTGGCTGGTTGGGTGCCGGCTACATGGCAGTGGTGATCACCTTCTCCTCAGGCTCCACCGTGTTCTCGTAGGCGTGCTGGTTCTCTTTGGACCTGCATGGGGAGGGAGAAGCACAGTGCTGAGCTTATCCCCAGCAAGACCAGCCCCCTCGAAGGCACCACTGGGAATCCTGACCCCGCTGGTGCCAGCTGTGCACTGAGTGAGGGGTGAGGTGGGGAGGACAGGAGGGGTCACCCTGCCAGGAAGGAAGCCAAGATCAGGGTGAAAATCCCTCTAAGTTTTGGTGAGGTCTGTTTTGACAGTCAACATCTATGTGGTGACTTGTGGCCACCTTTGGTGGCTTCCTCTGTAGGAAAGGTGTGATGCAGCATAAGAAAAATGTGGTGTAGCAGGTTACAAGGTGATGGAGGGATCATGGGGCTCAACTGTGGGGACAGGGAGAGACGAGGGAGGAGGGGATACTGGGATACTCCCTTTCCCTGCCTTCTGCTTAACCCCCTGGATGATAGAAGTCCCCAAACCCAGGTGGCATGGGACATGTGAGGCCCTGTGTGGGAGAGACCATGGCTCTGCATGTCTGAGCTGTCCCCAGGGGGACAGAACAGAGCCTGGGAGCCGTGGGGAGGAGGTCTCAGAAAGTCCCTCACCTGAAGTCGGTTGCAGCTGATAGGTATCTCCCTTCATGGCCATTGGATATGACAGGATCCTGTTTGTCCTCTACAGTCACCACCGTCTCGGCATTTTCCCTGGAGGGAGAGAAGGGAGAAGCTGAGACAGGACAATGAAGGAGCCGTGCTGGGGAGCAGCCTCCCAATGGGGATGGCACTGAGGAAGGGGCTGATCTGACACTACAGAGACAACTAAGGGTATGATCCTGGCCTCAGACATGCAACTTAGCCCCATTCCCAGCAGGACAAGGACAAGGACAAACACCTTCACTGCAGGTTTGCAGAGGCTGCACCCAGACACCAAGTGCCAGCCCCTGCCTCTGGAGCTGGGACTCCCAGCACCGGGCTGGCAGTCAGGGAGACTCATTGTCAATATGTGGGATTGTTTTCTCCTGCTAACTGGTTTTTCCAGTCTACTTCTATGTAATCTGTTGCAAAATAGTCCCCTGTGGATCCCAACTGACACGGAGAGAACAGCCAAGGCTCTGCTGGTGCTGCAGCCCTGGCACAGGAGGGCTGTACGTGTGCATGTCCATGTGAGCAAAGCAGAGCTGCTTTCTCTTGGATGTGAGTCTGGATCACTTGCAGAAGGAACCATTGGGCAGGGATGGGGTGTTTGACCTCAGCCAGAGCCTAAAAGCTCAGCTCGGGAGTGAGCCCGTAGCCCAAACAGTGCCAGAGGGGTTTATTTACGGAGGGTGGGTGCAGGTCCACCCTGCACTCACATCCCTGCCTCCTCCAGGGCAATTTCAGAGGCTTCTCCAAGGAACAGACTGGCATAAACAAGCAGCAGCTTGAGCTGATAGCTGCTGTCACAGTGACAGCGCAGAGCTGGCAGGGCGCCAGGCAGCCGAGCCTCACTGCCCGCTCTGCTGAAGAGAGGCCAGATTAATTAAAACAGGGCTCCTTCTCCCCTCAAGCCCTTCTCAGCATCCTCTGCCTCTGGGCTGGGAAGAGGCAGCCAAGCACGGGCAGCAGTGGGAAACACCATCCCTGCCTCCCACTCCATGAGCTGGGGGTTCCTTCGGTTTGAGGACAGAGGTTCCTCTTCAGGAAACAAAGACCTGTAGTCTTGGCAAATCAGAGCATTTAAATACAGGTATACACACATTGCATTATGCATTGGCCCTGAGTGCATCCCAAAGGAACCCCCCTTGAACACATCTGGGGTTGAAGCCGACCTGCTGAGTGTCATGGCACACCCCAGCTCTCCCCCTCCTCGGCCTGGAGAGGCTGCAGAATGCACAGGTACAAGGAGACTCCAGCACCTTTGGGTGCAGAGCCCAAAGCGACCACGCCAGTTCTGAGGAACCTGGAAACAGGCTTCATCCCCTGTTGCCTTTGGGCTCAGATCCAAGATCAGGTTACTGCAACTTTGCCAGTTGCTTGGCTGAGCAGGAGCAGCAGTCCGTGGCTTGGCTTGGTGGGCAGTGGACAAGAGGTAACCTGTCCCACAGAGCCTTCTTCTGATGAGTAAGGCCACCTCATTTGTCTGTCCCATGGGTTCCAGGCTGAGAGCTCTGCCATGGCTTGGCTGCCTCCCTCTTCTCCCAGCTCCTCTCAGTGCATTCTGACAGCTTGGTTCTGTCTGCTTTGCAAACAAAGCTGCTCTGAGCTTATTGTCCCATGGATATAAGGCACATGGGAACTGCACCCACAAAACCATAGAAAACCAGGCTCAGGACAGTCCCCTGAACATGTGCCCCTGCAAACCAGCCACAATGCTGCTGCCTTCTCACTCCCAGCACAGCACTTTGTCGTGGCAGCATTTGTACGGTGCAAGCTCCCACCTGGCAATAAGTAACAGGGAGCAGAGACCAGGACAGGGAGAAGAGGACGGAGAGATGAGGACAGGGAGTCTTTGCTCTCCCTGCCCAGCTCCCAGCACAGCGATCACAGTGTTCCCAGCCCTGGCACAGGGATGGAGGCTGCTGGAAGCGACACGTGCCCAGGCAGTTAAGTCCAACCCCTGCAACCTCCCACACTTACACTTTCTTCTTACACCAGAACCTGTTGACCACGAAAACGATGGCCACCAGCACTAGAAACACAACCACTGCGATGACACCCTGCGACCACGGCTGGAGGCTGCCCCGGGCTACAGGAAAAGAAGAGGACACAAGTTAGGAATTCATCCTCAGAATTTATCTGCTCAGTTTCTCTCGTTCAGCTTCAGCAGCATCCAGCCAAGAGCTTGATCCTACAGAGCCAAGCAGAACATGCTGCTGTCAATTCAGGCAAGCGTACCTGGGTGATAGCAATAAAATAAAGCACAAATAACAGTAGTTTTGCTGGTGTTTGCATATGGAGTGTAGTGCCTTGTAGCTTTGGGGTCCCTGATACAAATACATACACATACAGATGTGCTGTGGGGAGCTGGTGACTCTGTGATGAGGGAAAAAAGGGCTGGGGGACATGGAAGAAGGGAGGGAAGGAAAATGTTTGCCAAGGGGAAAAAGATAGAGGAGTTTCAGCAAACTGTTTGTTCTCCATCCCCAGATGCCACAGACATAATTCCCAGGATATTTTCCAAATACTGACGGCTAAAATAAGGACCCCGTAACAGGGACAGTGTAAAATTTGGTTATCACTCTCACAGCAAAGAGTTGTCACTGTGGATTTCAGTAAAATGCCCCATTCAAAAGCTTCCAGAGCAGCAAACTGATTTATGACAGGAAATTGAAGGCTGATGCATTCAGAACAACAACCTCAGTGCAGAGGCCAGGCAGGGCTGGTGGGGGGCCAAGCAGCATGGGGGTGGGGAGAGGGGGAGCTGGGAGCTGACCAGGATATCCCTTTGTCCCCCACAGATGGGATGGACTCACAGGTTCATTTTCCTCTATCCAGACCTATACAGGGATGCAGCCATGAGCGAGAGGGCTGTGAGATGCATTCCTGGATGTGGGAAGAATGCAAGGGCAGGGTGGTCAGAAGAGGAAACTTTTTCCCAGTCCTTGCTGGGATGGCTGCTCCTTGCCTCCCACTGGCTTTTGGAGCACTGAGATGTAGTCAAACCCATCCTTTAGTCAAACCTATCCTTAAGTGCTGTCATGTCAGCACCAAAGGACACCTTGTCCATGCAACCACATCTCTTCAGGATTTAATTACTATTTATTCAGGCATGTTTTTCCTCATCTGCTGATCAAAATGGCAACCCTTGCACACAAGAGAGGCCTCTCTACACAGGCACATGGGGCAGGTGGAGGATGCTTTACCTGTCAGCTCCAGCATCAGCCCCAGAACACTCAGATCCAGACCTGGCCACTGACACCTGCCAGGCTGAGCTGCCCCAGGATGAGAAACTGGTTCTTCAACCTCACTCAGGAACATTAGCTGAACACTTCATCTGTCTCAGAGGAGACAAATCTCTGCTATAAACAGAAAACGATCTTTCCTAGCAGCAACAGAAGTGGATTGTGTGGTCCACATGTGCAAATTCTTCATCTGTAACCAGCTTCAGACTGGCTCTGCCTCTGACAGCTCTCCTCTCCTTCCTCTGATTTTCGGGAAGGGGGCTGTCCTTTGGTAAGGCCTCCAGGTCCTTGAATGTTTACTGCAAGAAACTTTTACTAAAAAAAAACTCCACCATCAAACCAGGAAAACCAAACCAACAACACAAAACAAAGGTCATTTTGCCTCTTGGAAGTGAAATCAGCCTGGCCGCTTGACTCACCAGCAGTGCCAGTCTGGAAAGCACTGGCACTGCTGGGCAAGGGGCTCTGAGAGCAGCCCCAAACAGCATCTCTCAGCCCCCTCTCCTCACAGAGACACTTGCCATGTTTACTGCAAGGTCCCAGGGCCAAAACTGCAGCAGGAGGAATTCAGACGGAAATTCCCTCTTGTATCGGCGTGTTTGGACTGAAATACCATTGTGTCAGCAGGCTGCTGGTGGTGCTAAAGGGGGTGGGAGGGGTGGCACCAGCATGGTGGCAGTGGGGAAGAGCAGGGTTTGGCCCCCTCCTGCCCTGCCTCGTGAACAAGGATGCTCCTGCCCCTGCTGCCCACCAGCCCTGGGAGTGCAGCCCAGAACACACCCATTGCCTCCCAGCTGAGCTTTGTCTCGTTGTGCCTCCTCCCTCGCTCTGCCCTTGGCTGTTGGCCACATTTATTTATTAGTTGTAGTTTATTTTTCCTACTGGAGTCAGGTTTTCCAGCCTAAGCCCAAGAGGGGGTGGTCACATCCAGCCCTCCGTGAGGTTTCTGCTGGGGTTAAGGGAGTTCAAGGTCAACCGGGGAATGAAGTCAGTGATGACTGGAAGTGCCAAATTTGGATCTCGTGATCTTCCAGCAAAGGAGGGGAGAAGATAAGTGGTAGGAAATTTCCTTGGAGTGGCCGTGCTCAGGAGGTACTGGATGTTTTTGCAAGGGAAACCTCGCTAGGACAGCGATTTCCAGCAGATTTCAGAGACTCCAAAGCCAAAAGGAAAAACACCCAACCAAAATCAAGGGGTTCTGACTTTGAGAGACCACGTAGGGCCTGGCTGCAACAGGAGAGAAGGGTGGTAGGGGAACAGCAAATGCCTCCACATAGGGCTGAAATCCCGCATGGGGAACTTGCATGGGCATAAGAAAGGAGGAATGGGAGCCAGATAGAGGCAAGAGCTTGATAGGATCTACTCCAGGTGTGACTGTGGGGATCTCAGCCCTGGGGGTGGCATTGCCTGGCTAGAGCTCCATCAAGCACACCAGGAGGGATGGCCAAAGGGTGAGTCTCACCTGTGGAAACAGGACTGTGTTCCTGGAAGAGGGATGCCCATCCTGGGACAGCCTGTCCCTCAGGCTCTGCCACTTCCTCTCAGTTTCACCCCATGTCAGTGATGGGGTTTCCCCTCACCAACAAGATCCTGTAAGCCAAACTAAGCACTGTGGAATCTGCAGCCCTGGCAGGCCTGTGTCCACACATCTGCAGCTACAAACCAGACCAAGGGAAGTGCCAATGCCAAAATAAGCCTGGACACTTGTTGTAACTCCATTTCCATGCTCAACAGCTGATTTGAAGACACAGATTTTTGATATATCTTTCCCGAGTGCTTGGAAAGCATCGGCTGGCCCCTGTCTTTTCCGCTCTCCGAGGAAGCTGTGCCAGGCTCTGAATCCTCATTAAAGGGTTTCTTTTTCTACACTCTTTCCAAGCAACAGCAAAACTTTCAATCCTGCTGACAGTGGAGACCCCAGACTGTTAAATCCTCAGCAAGTTGGTAAACAAACACAGGAAGAGTGGTCAGGGCTGGGGCTTCACTGAGAGAAGGGGGGAGGGAATTTTCCAGGACTTTGGCAACATCAGATGAGTTTTAATTACTCCTCATTATTTCCAGCATTAAACATGCCCTTCAATGAATTTCCTAAAAATAATGTCCTAGCCATAGTAAGTTTCCCTGTTAAGTTTTTCAGAAGGGAACAGGAGGGCAATTTGCAGAGGAAAATATTTGCTCTCTCTCCTCAGCAATGATCAAAATTACAGATTAACAGGAGAATCTGCGAGCTCAGGGAGTGACCCAGCACAGCACTTGCCCAAGGACGAGAGTGAGAAAAAAGAAGGGAAAAAAAGAAAAAAAGAAGAAAAAAAAAAAAAGCCGTAAGAAAACAAATTACTCATCTCGGTGCACAGTCCTGAGAGAGGTAAATCAGAGCTGCTTTATCTCCACGTAAGCAGGTAAGATAAACCTCAGGTGGCAGTTTCAGCCTTCGGCAAAACAGGTAGAAAGTCTCCATGCGCCAGCTCCGGCAAGACCTTCCAACCCCCGGGACACCCTCCCATCCCGATGTGCAGCCGGAGCTAAAGCTTAGGCAGGAGCTGGGATGTATTTTCTCTTCCCAAGAGGCTCTTCCGCAGCTGTCTCTTGTCCCCCGCCAACCAGTTCCCACTCTCCTGGAGCTCGGTGCCTTCCCCTTGCCTCAGTTTCCCCGGGATATCAGGCAGCTGCCTGCACTTACCTTCTTGGCAGAAGGCAGGCTCCAGCTCCAGGAGCAGTCCCAGGAGGAGGAGGAGGAGGCAGCGGGCAGGCATGGTGGCAGGCAGGGCCGGGGGCTCCTGGGGTGCGGAGGAGCAGCCGGACGCTGCACTTGGGCACGCCGCCCTCCCACAGGAATGAGCGCTTGGTCAATTATCAAACGCATTAACGAGGGAGGCCGATGCTCTCACCTGCCTATTCAAATCCTGCTGCGGGAACTGGAGGAAGGAGGTGCCTCTTGCTTTGTCCCGCGGAAGCTGGCGGGGAATTTGGGGCACGGTGACTTGAACCTGACAGTCCCCTTAGGCAGGGCGTGGAAGGGAACTCGGGCACAAAATATTTGCATCAGTCCAGAAGGAAAAAGCAACATCCAGGTGGGTAAAATTCTTTCCCAGTGAAGCTGCAGTGCTTGGGGATCGTGGTGTGCCCCAAGTCCCCGTCCCCACTGGAGGAAAGCGGAGGGAAGTCCAGTGATGCCCCAGTTCTGACATCCCTTCCCACCCTGTGGGACTCCCACTCATTTCCTTGCTCTTCTCTTTTCAGCAAGTGTCACTAACAACCCGACAAAACACATTTGTTACTTGAAAACATCAATTTAATAAACCAGACTCGGTGCCAGGTACTGCCTCCCACCTCTCACATCTTGTTTAATTGTGAAACTATTAAAAAGAGCAAACACAGCCTTCACTTCATTGAGTCTTCAGGGCTGTCTCCAAAACTGCTCGACACCAGAAGAGGTAGAAACACCCGAAGACCTGCAGCAGACAGCAAGGCTCACCCTTCACATCAACTGTGCAGATGCTGCAGGATGGGGAAGATTGCAAGTCCTGAGTTAAGGAGTTTGCCAGCCATCCAAACCTGGCATGGGCTGTGAAACCCAGCCCATGGAAGAATAAAAGCTATTTGTCTTCAGAGCTGAGAAACTTCACTTACTCCTGAAGGAAATAATAAAACTGTGAGCCACGGGTTTCGTTGTCGCTCTTCTTGTGGTGTGTCAGAGCAGCTCTGCAAGCCCAGGCTCTGGGAATCCCCCTCAGCAACATCTGAACTCCCAGCCTCTGGGTCTGGTGATCCCCCCTCCAGGGACCCTGCCTGGGTGCTGGGTCCTGCCATGGGAGCCCACATGTGACCCCTGCTCGGGAATGAGCAACATCCTCAGGAATACATACCACGGGTGCAGGATTGACCTCCTTCGTCCCTCCTCTTTCCCCTGTGTTTAGAATAATGTCATTTATCCTGAAAACAGACCAGAGCTTACTTGAGCTGCACAAGATTGAAGGACAGTTACTAATTCTTTCCCAAATTCCTTTCCATGACCAGGTAGGTCCCCACCTGCAATGTTGGATGATCCCATTCCCAACCCCTCGAACTTCTGCTTGCAAACTCTGTGATGCAGGGACTTTCCTGCTGCATCGGGCAAGGAAGTGTCACAACAGGGACTGGCCCATAATAAGGCCCTGTAAAAGCAATCTAATCATGTTACAGAGGAAAAGGAACAGCTTCTGAAGAAGTAAAATGAGAGTGAACTTCGAGTTCCCTGTTATTGCTTCCACATTATCTGGGAAAGCATCCAGAGTCTGCCATCTTTGCTGCCTGCCTTTTACCTGTCCCTCCCAGCAAACTCCCAGCAAAAACAGCCGAGCTGTTCAGAGCAGAAGGCCTTATCAGCAGATCAGAAGTCCTAGAGAAGCCGGTCCTGCTGCTGTCCTTGGGAAATTCAAGGTCTGAGACATTCTACTGTTGCCACCCATCCCTCAGCCACGCCTGGGGCTGCAGCAGGTGGCTGATGAGGTTCCCTTCTCCACATGTACTCCAATCTTCCCATCACAGGGCTCTGCTCACTCCAGGGACCCTGGGCTGAATTTTCAAAGGCAGGGATGCCTCGAGGATGTGCCTGTATGCTAGGATGTGTTGGGGTGACAGGACGTGACAGAGCAGACCCTGAGCTGAAGGCAGGGCTGCTGTGCCTCCCAGACAGGGATCTTGATGTCAGCTCCTTCCTGAGAAGCGAGTAACACATTACCGATTGCACATTCCCACATTTACATGAAATTCAAGAAAATTCAATTATTTAATCGTTTCGGGCTCGCTGATGAGGCCAGGGAATCACACCCGTGCTTATCTCAAAGCCTCTCTGTGCTCCGATGCATGTTTAGCCCAGGGCAGCTATTAGGAAGGTATGTGCCTTTGTGGAGAAAGCTCCCATGGCACCTGCTTGGTTGCATATCCCTGGGTCTGGCCTGGGGGCATGAGAAGTATCAAGTCACTGTAACAGCAGCAGCCTTGCTGCAAGGGCAGAGCCTGAAATTTCGACAAATAATTTGCCAACCGGCTCCCCCTTTTGTCATTCTGGCCCTGGGCTGGGACCTGCAGTGGCAAGTAGCTGTGTGTTTCTGCTGCAGAGTGCTGGAAATCTTGCTGTGTCTCTCATTTAAGCCTTCAACATTGCCCAACCATGGTGAGTGAAAGCCCTAGAGGTGCATTTTATAGGCAAGGGAAACTGAGGCACAGAGGGGCAAATCACCTTGGCAAAATTCAGCCAAACCCAAGTGGAGCCAGAGCCAGAGCCAGAACAGTTCTCTGTCAGAGACCTATATGAGCAGTTGCCTGTACAACAGATCTTCCTAAAAGCAGGGATTGGAATTTCAGGATATCCTCCAAATATCGGAGGTTATTTCCTCTAAAAGATAGGTAATTTTTAGGAAAAAAATAACCTTTGCTCAAAGCAATATTCCTGGGTGATGTGTTTCAAAGCACAGATGCCAGTTCCTCTTTGAAAAGTGCTGCGGGTCTGTGTTTTAATGGAAGTTGTTTTTCTTTCTCCTTCACTTCCTTCCTTCCTCCCTTCTTCCTTCCCTGTTTCATCCTCTCCATTTCCTCCCCCTCTCTCAAACAGAGCCATAAAAATTAAAAAAAAAAAAAATCTATGAGAGCAACTTTGAACATCCCCTAAAGAAGAGATTGTATTTTTCCTAGGGGAAAAAAAAAAGTAATTATAAATTTGTTACATTTCAATAGCTGCTAAAAAACATCAAAAAATCCCAAACAAAAAAACCTCAACACAAGCAAATAAAAAACCCCCACAGACCCAATTTTTAATTGCTTGTTTCTTTTGACATTTGCCATCAAAACCAAATATTCCTTGCTTGCGCCAGAATTCTCTCATTTCCCGTTGACACTTGTCTTTCAAATCCTGCCCAGTATGGATGCTGCCAGGAGAGAACTAGGAGCTACAACCACTGTGAAAAGGGCATTTTCTTGGCCTGGTGTGCCAGTGTGGATAAAAGGCAGCAGAAAAAGGCAGATCCTGCTCAGCTTGTCTTCTTCCACCACAGCTCTATACCCCCCTTGTCTTTAAAAATGCCTTTAAGCTGCAATATGTTTTCTTATTTATGTGCAGTTGAAAACCCCAGGTTTCAATGGTATGGCAAAAGCGAATCACCCCATGCCAGCCTCGTCCTCCCCATACCACCCAGGGTTCAGCTGGACCATTTGTTCCTCTTCTGAACACACAGACAGGGTCAAGGAAAAAAACACCTCTTGGCATTTTATTAGACGTTTTGTTACTCCATTTGTGTGTCCCCCAGGGCTGATGCTAATCACAAGCCTCGAATAAACAGCAGGGAGACGTGGTGGTGGCCCTGATCCATGTGGTAGTGGCTGTGATCCCTCTTGGTCCCTTCATTTCAGGAGAATGTTGATTTTCCCCTTCTCCTGCCAGGCAGCCTGGATGCTCCAGTGGGGTGAGCCAGGACCTCACCTGTCAGGGCACTCGCTGGGAGGTGGTACCCAGAACCTGAGTGTGATGGGACACAGACATGGCACCAGAACTGGGCTCCAGGTGTGCCCTTCGTTTTCCCTGAAGATCTGCTCAGTAGCATCACTGTGGCCCGTGAGTTTTTCATGGGACCCTCTGGATTATATTTTTTTACATCAGTTGATTTTGGCACGGATCTCTGGGCAGCATTCACACCCTAAGCTGTCTGTGCCTGATGCTGCAGCTCCGTACATCCAAGGGTCAGCAATGGCCTCTCTCCTCTGTCCGTTGTCCTCTCTGAGCTCCCTGCTCCTCTGTCCCTGACACCAACAGCTGCCACGGCTCTGACAGCACATTCACATCAGCCCCAGGCCCCACAGCCTTGGAAAATTAGGCTGAGAAGACACCTCCCTGATCTGTCCCACCTTGCCCTGGGCTGGGAGGAATCAAAATAAAAATCCCCGAAATGAGAAGAAAATCCACCTGCCTCTGCTGCGCCTTATTGTTGGGGGATGAGCCTGCATCCGTGACTCCCCCTCGGCTTTCCCATCCGTCCAGGGGGCATATTGCACCCCTAATCATCTCTGAGTGTGGGGGAAAGCACCACTGCAGATAGGCAGGATCCCAATGTGATGCTCAGAGAGGGAGAACGGAGCTGACTTCGCTCTGGATATTCCCTCCTGCTCAGAGATACCGAATGGAATGAATAATTTGCTATCCGATCATCTCTAATCTTCATCCCATAAAATCAGCAGCAAGCTGGGAGGGTTTTTGAAGCCTCCAGCTGCATTTGCTGATAAGACAGGAGGCAGGAAAGATTGGAAGCCCATAAAAATGATAATCTCAGGCTTCAGTGTAACTTGGTGGAAGGGTTTTCTCCTGTCCTTTCATTAAGGATGGATTTCATGATCCTCCTTAAATAACAACAAGCCTTCTCACGAGGAATCTCCCACCCGAAAACTGATTGCATCGTCATTAGGAAACAGGAGGCCAAGAAGCCAGAAAAAAATAGATGGAGCACAGCTTAAAGCGAGGGCCAAGGCCAGGGGGTGGGAGGAAAACAGGGGATTGGAAGTAATTTCTGAACACAGAGAGAATCTTTAGGCATTGGGGCTCTGCCTGGGAGAGTCAGGCACCAGCACCATGCCAAGCTGCTAGCTCTGGGCCTGGCTGTAAAGCAAAGCCTCATACTCTTCATCTTTCACCTCCTTGACATGAAGAGAAATATCATGTCCCATTTCAGTGTGGTTTGATACAGCATCCTCATCATTGTTCCCAAATTCAGCGAACTGGGAGAGAAGAAGGAAGAGGAAAAAACCCAACTCATCAACCTTTTCCATGTGAGACTCTCAACGAAGAT